GAACTTTGTCGTTGTTTAATTCATTTTATTTCTTCTGTTTTTTAATTCTCTGTTTATGGCTGGTTGAATCTTGATGTTTGGAATTTTCTTTTTTTAATAGTGTTCTTGATTGGAGATGTTTTTTGTTAAGTGGTGATTGTTTGTGATTGGTCGGTGAAATTTTGTTGGATGACCAAATCCTCTTTAATTTCAGTTTAAATCTGTTTTTCTGCCAAGAAATTTGGGGGCCTTGATGTTTTGAAGCTCCATAATTTCATTTGTAGTTCTTGTTAGTCAAGATAATTGTTAAGGATAGTTGACCGTCACTATAAGGCAAATATCTAGATATTTGCCTTACATTACGGGTTACCATATTTGCCCTCTTATTAAAGGCAAATATATTGCATTCATTTATTATTCTTTCCTTTTATTACTATTTCCATAATATTTGTAATTTACCATATTTCTGTATTCTGAAAATAATTATAAATAAGAGAACTCTCACCCCCATTGAGGTGTGGTGATTCAGCAAACATTCACAATAATCTTGTGTTCTAGTCTGGTAATCTCACTGATCTTCACGAGTTTTTTTTTTTTAGGGTATTCTAAAAGCTCTGGTGTTCCTCATCCGATGGCTTTCAAGATTTCTGCTGAGGACAAGACTGCGTATCCGGTTGTGGCTGCTTCGGATCAACGCAGAGCAGCGGATGCCCAGGTTTGATATCTGTTCCTCGGTTTTGTTTTTGATATGTTCTTCCTTCACTCGTTTGCTTTTAGTCGCGGTAGCTCCTAAACTAGAGGTGTATGGCTTGCTTTTGTTTGGGCTGATGTGGTTGTATCTCTTTCTCCGGTTGTATCCTTCACTTTTTCAATCTAGAAAACGTTCAATCTGGATAGGCAAGGTGGCCCTCAAATTTCCCTGGCAGCTTATCCTATGCAATCTGATTTGTATTCGATTCATCGTCCTCATGAAACGAAACTATTTTCCGTTCCAAATCAAGGTATATCTGTTTCATTAGGTAATCCATCCGTGAAGAACCCTTTTGCTCTTCCTGCTCAGATGGCTGGTCCTATCCTCAAACAACCACTTGGAGGAGTCCCGGTTTCAAGCGCTCTGAATTCATTTTTCCCGCCATTTGGATCCATTTCTGGGATCACTGAACCATGGTAACACTCTTGTACTTGTACTTTTTAACTTCTTTCTTAAGCTTTAATGAACATTTGTAGGAAGAACTGAATGTAATTTGAACAGTTTTTTAATCCTCTGTTCAGGAATAGCATGAAACCAACTGGTGGGTCTCCAGCTCAACTGACTATTTTTTATGGTGGTACCGTCAAAGTCTATGATGACATTACCCCTGAAAGGGTAATTATCATATAAGTTCTCTTTTGAAGTGCCATGAGTAAAGGAAGGGCTCTGAGATCGATATCCCTTTTGCAGGCTCAGGCTATAATGTTCTTGGCTGGAGCTGGGGCTTCCGTATCCAACATTGCACATCAAAAAGCTCAAGCTCAAGCTCAAGCTCATGGAATGGGTGCAAAAATGGCAACCGCAAGTGATGGTGCTCCCAAGAACCAACCCGTGAGCACCTTGCCCTGCCCTGCTCTATCTAGCCCCTTGTCTGTTTCTTCTCACACAGGAGCCCAGTCTGGGAGTGGTTCAAGTTGTTCTGATGAGTTGGGAGGAGTTAAAACCAATGGACTTCCCACCACTCCTATCAGCAAAGGAGAGCCTCCAAGAATAGTCAATGCAGTCGGACCTGTTGCTGCTACTGCTATGCTGCCCTCTGGTATGCCATACGCCAACAAGAGCCATCATTTTTTCTTCTTTCATTCATTGATGTGCCTGTTTTAGCTGATGATTCACGAATTAGGTCAAATTAATGTATCAATAACTTAGGATGTTCAATGATTTGGGAGCAAGCATTCCGACGGTATAATTAGTAGGAACTTTCTTGAGTTGCAACTTATATTTCATTTTTGGTTTACTTCTACAGCTGTTCCACAGGCTCGTAAAGCATCCTTAGCTCGGTTCTTAGAAAAGCGCAAGGAAAGGTAAGTCATTTTACGATATCTTGTCACAAATAGAACATCATCAAAGAACATATAGAGATCCAAATTATGGCCATCTAAATTATCTGCATTTTGATGTACATATAGGGTCATGAGCTCTTCTCCATACAATCTTAGCAAGAAACATCCCGAGTGTGCTGCGACAGAATCCAACGGTGCAAATTTCTCGAGTCCTATCACGAGCAACAGTGCTAATGTGGCAAGCTGAGAACAACAATCCTTTATGATGTAAAACATAGAGAATGATGGTTTTGTAAGTTAAAGAAGAAGATGTAAGCTAATGGTTCTTATGGTCTATTATTATGTGAACAGCCTTCATGAGCCTTGACTATTAAAGTTTTAATAGTTCCATGTCTTAAATAATATTTTGCCTACACAAAGCTGTTCTAAAGTTTTCAATTAATATCTGTTCATGATCAACAATCAGATATCATAGAATTCTATTTAGTATAGCATTTGGATGACATGAGACTGTTTATGTGTATTGATAAAGATTTGGTTAGTAGGTATTGATGCTTGAAGAGATAAGATTAATTGAAGAACATGGTGTGGTGTTGGTTTTCTTGCTGTTAATCATCTTGATTCTGTAGCTTTTGATTTTGATTTTGATGGGGAATCTTTTGATTATAAAAACATTTGATCATTTAATTGGTTGATGTTACCTTTTTCGTTTGGTACACTTAAAATGAAAGCACATTTTGCCCTCTACTAAGGTAACAACAAAAGGGTTTCAATGTCAAGCCATTGTGTGGGTTCATCAAAGGAGGAACAGATAGTAAGATATAGGTTTCAATTTCTAGCTATTAATGTTTTTGTATTATTTTGAGAATTATTTACTTTTCTAAGCCAATGACTTGTCGAACCTTCCAAAATGCTATTGAAAGAGAATCAAATGTCTTTTGGTCATAAATATCTGGCAAAAAAAAAGGGATTTACATGAAAACCTTTCAGACAAACTAAGAGTACAAACGTCTCTTCTGCACAAAGTGCAACAAACCCTTGCCTAGGACCCTTAACCCGACCTGAAAACGAGCGGGAGATAATAGGAAGAGGCTAGGAAAGATTAGATCCGGCTTAGAGAGGTGACTTGAGATTTCCACAAGGACAGGTAGTTGGAATTGCGGCAATTCAATCTTCATCTTGTCAAACTGAAAAGGAAAAAACTCCAAATCAACTACATCCATTCTCACCTATCCATCTCTTTCTCCCTCTCATTCCACTCTCATTCCACTCATTTGGAACTGAACTTGAAAGCCATATTTCGCCTCGAACATTCAAACAAAGAAAGAAAGAAGGTCAATAATCTTTGACATTTCCATATTGGCGATGGAACCCCAATCAACACGAGAGAACATGAGCTGAGACCAGAAAATTGTTACTGAGTGGTTCCTGAGTGAGGATAAATCAAATAAATGATGAAACAAAGAGCAGCGAGGTCTATCCCCAACCAAGCAACAAACAAAAAGAGAGGCGAAGGGTAACTCTTTGATTTTCTCCACTCTACTACTGAAGTTGGGATCTCACGCAAGACAAATGGGTTGAACATCAATAAGCTTTCATTTAGAGGGAGGCAGTCTTTCCAAGTAGGGAGATTGTTAGGAGGGAAAAGAGTAGTTCCACGTTGGCTAATCAAGAGAAAGATCATAAGTTTATAAGTAAGAAACAACACTATCTCTATTAGTACAAGACCTTTTTGAAAAAATAAAAAACAAAACCATGAGAGTTTATGCATTGTGAAGTGCATGGTTCCTTTCGATTCCAAAAAAAAGGTAAATGGTTTTACTTTTGCTTTAACTTAAAAGGTTTATTACGGAATAAGAGTTGAAACAAAAATTGTGCCCCTCCTACAAGTTACAATAAGGATCATCAAAACTTTCGGAGTGTTACAATAAGGATCACTCATTATGATTCAAAATAGACTTTCAATTGTTGGCAGGCAAAGCTTACTGGTGGTATACTATGCAAGTCCTAGGAGTCTGGACAACAGAGCTTCCCTTTTCTAAAGGGGTATACAATTATAGTTGGAGGCATCATGAAACTTAATACAGCTTCCCCTGGACAAGAGTTACCTCTTTTACCTCGCCAACAAATGAATCAGCCTCAACTGATTCCCCTATTGAGCTAGTCAATCGCATCACATCAAGCAAACCAAATCAAATTCAACATCCAATGAGGAAGAAGAACAACATTGAACATAGTTCATCCTTTGGGTTTTCCCTGATCTAATGCAAACACTAAAGACAACTGAAAACAATCAAATCATAGAATAAGTAGAAAAAGAAACACCCAACATCCCAACCCCAAATAACTAATGGTTTACTAAGAATTCCAGTAAATACATAAGCAAACAGAACAACAGAGTCCCAAATAATGCCTCAGACCAGAGGATGTAAAACAGAAAATCTTAATCCCCATCCCTCCAACCAACTATAAAAATTACATTCAAGAGTCGCGTATCAGTCTCAAGTTTTAGAATAGGAATATCGAAATGGAATATAAAACGAGCACAATTTCCATAATATAGCATAAGAAACGAAATTAAAACAAAAAGAAAAAAAGAAAAGAAAACGAACAGACGCAATGATTTGATTCCCCCTCCATCTCCATTCTCAATCCCGATTCTTCAACCTCTCAATACGCTGGTTCAATTGCTCAACCTTGACAAGCAAATGGGTGACAGAGTACAACAGCCAGTAGAACACAAGCGCCGAAGCGATCAAGAGCGCATTGCGTTGGCTCTTCATGATCGATTTCTGGTGGCGAAGGAACTCAGAAGGGGTGCATGAGTCGGATTCGCAACTGGGGAGAGTTTCGTATTTCCAGTAGATATCCATGAGCAAGAAGAGGCAAAAGGGAACGACGGAGAGGAATGGCTTGAGAAGATTGCGAGTAACAGCAATTAGGCCCTTCCGGAGACCATCGAGGCCTGGGATGGTGAGGAGAAGGAGCATGATTGCCTCAGCCGCAGCGGCGTAGCCAAGAACGACCCATTCCAATGCCATTGATGATAGATCTGAACAGAGAATTGGTCGATCAGTGCGTTGAAATGAAATGAATGCTTTTCTTCGAGGCGAAGGAGTTTGATTTGGGTAGCTGTTTGAAGAAAGGTGGAGGGTTCGATGACGTAAGGAAGGGGAAGACTACTGAGACACGTGCCAAGTATGAATATGGCACGCTCAGATCACTTTATTTATTTGTTTATTTATTATTGGGCCATTCCGAAGCAACGTTGTATTGGACTAGTACTCAAACCATATGATATTTGGGCTCAATCTTAAAGCCCATTTTGAAGCTTAAGAAAGCCCATTTTGAAGCTTAAGAAAGCCCATTTTGAAGCTTAAGAAAGCCCATTTTGAAGCTTAAGAAAGCCCATTTTGAAGCTTAAGAAAGCCCATTTTGAAGCTTAAGAAAGCCCATTTTGAAGCTTAAGAAAGCCCATTTTGAAGCTTAAGAAAGCCCATTTTGAAGCTTAAGAAAGCCCATTTTGAAGCTTAAGAAAGCCCATTTTGAAGCTTAAGAAAGCCCATTTTGAAGCTTAAGAAAGCCCATTTTGAAGCTTAAGAAAGCCCATTTTGAAGCTTAAGAAAGCCCATTTTGAAGCTTAAGAAAGCCCATTTTGAAGCTTAAGAAAGCCCATTTTGAAGCTTAAGAAAGCCCATTTTGAAGCTTAAGAAAGCCCATTTTGAAGCTTAAGAAAGCCCATTTTGAAGCTTAAGAAAGCCCATTTTGAAGCTTAAGAAAGCCCATTTTGAAGCTTAAGAAAGCCCATTTTGAAGCTTAAGAAAGCCCATTTTGAAGCTTAAGAAAGCCCATTTTGAAGCTTAAGAAAGCCCATTTTGAAGCTTAAGAAAGCCCATTTTGAAGCTTAAGAAAGCCCATTTTGAAGCTTAAGAAAGCCCATTTTGAAGCTTAAGAAAGCCCATTTTGAAGCTTAAGAAAGCCCATTTTGAAGCTTAAGAAAGCCCATTTTGAAGCTTAAGAAAGCCCATTTTGAAGCTTAAGAAAGCCCATTTTGAAGCTTAAGAAAGCCCATTTTGAAGCTTAAGAAAGCCCATTTTGAAGCTTAAGAAAGCCCATTTTGAAGCTTAAGAAAGCCCAAAGAACCATCCAAATAGGCTCCATGGATTATTCCAATGCCAAAGGTGGAAGAATTGATACCCACTAGCTTTTTCGGCTTTATAAACTCCCTTTCCCTTTCAAGCATTGGAATACACACACCTTTGTTCTAACATAAAACCCAACTCTTTCGTCTTCTATTCTCTCCGTCTTTACTTTTCAAATTCCTTTCCATTTCCATTCTTCTTTTCACTCTTTTCGCTCGTATCCATGTAAAAAACGCTCATACTTTTTTTATTTAAACTAATCGAGAAAACATTACAAGACACTCAGTAGAACACTACTACGTTTTGTTCTACATAATCATCTGAGTTGACGATGATTTCACCCATTTATGTAGCCCTTGACCACATATACATAGAAATATATAAAATAATGTTAAGCATGGTCTAATATAGCTTTATCATTAAATAAAATGGCCCACCAACCGTATATCAATTCTATTTGGATCTCATTGGGATTATATAAAAACATTAAGATGGTGGATCCCAATACTAAGCTCCTCCATAAGTGGTTATTCAACTAAATTATTTAAAATTTTAAGATTCTAAATAAATATAGAAAAATGCTTCTTAACCGACAAATAAAGATTAGAATGATCGACATGTAAGTGAATCAATCGTAAGTTAATAAAAACATTAGAAGAAGATAGAACAACAACCCACCAAGGAGCATATATTCTTTTTCATAAAGGAAAAAAAAAATAGAAAAAGGGGATTCAATCAAAAAGAAATATTCTCAATACATATATATGAATCCCCTTTACAAGATTAAGTGGTGAGGTGGGTCCGACATGTCGAATAAATAATCATTCTCTCCTTTGTTCATGAACAATCCTTTTATGCCATGCACATACATCACTTCTTTTTATATTACTCTCTCTGGGTTTCTTTTAAACACACACACACAAGAATTTAAAAGACACAGAGGGGAAATCTGATCGTTGAATCATCCACATCATTTGCCACCTGGTTGAGATTCAAATACCGAACCAAATCAAGAACGAGGTTAAATTAATTTATAATGAATTAATTGAATTGAATGGAATGGAATGGATTACCTTTTCGTTTCTCACAGTAATGGCTTAGGAAAGCGAGGAACACAACGATGAACGCAATCCCAGCAATGAGTCCTATTATTACCGCCAGAGTTTTTTCTATCTCCACGTCCGTGTTTCTACCGTCTTTCAAATTTCAAATATATTCATTTATTTATGGGATAATTATATTATATATATATAAATGCATGGAAAGACGTGAAAGCAAAAAGAATGGCAATCATCTCATTCACTCAATAATCCAACAATTCACACCTTTTTATATGCACTTAAAAAGTGTAAGAATAAACTAACTAACCATTTCCGCCGCCGCCGCCGTGGGGGCGGATACCGCCATGAGAAAACCTCGCATAGCACTTCCCCAAGAACACATCCCCCCACCCCGCCGCCGCACACTCCGCCTTCAGCCGTCCCACGGCCGTCACCACACAGTCCTGGCACTCTCCAGCATCCAAATCCCCAACGCATTGCGCCACCCCTTGAACATCCCCGGACCCACCCACTCTAAACGGCTGATATCCACCACCGCTGCCATCCGCCGCCGCTAAATACGCTAACACCGCATCCCTTCTAGCCCACCCACCAGAATCATACCCCATCACCGCCCCACACTTCTTCACCACGACCGTCTTGTCCTCCACTCCCAAAAAGCTAACATTGTCGTACTTCACGAAACACCCCTCCAACTGCAACGCGCCACCACACGCGTCTAGACAGATCGAGCCCAGCTGGGCGACAGCGTGGGCCACGCACTTGGCACAGGCCGCGTTTTGGAGGTCGCCCCGGCACTGGAACAGTCCGTACACAGTGTCGCCGTCGCCGGCGCCGGCGACGGTGGAGTTAGTGTATAATGTGAAGGAGGCAGAATTTATAAGAGAGGTGAGGATGGAATTGAGATTTGACTCATAGGTTGAACCGGAAGTGTATTTGGTTTGGGAACAGCCGCCGTAGACAAAGGACTCGGCAGTGGTGGTCGCTGAGGACGGCGGCGATAGGGCGGAAGTGAAGAGAAAGAGGAGGAGAAATGAAGGCATTTCTGTGGAGAGGGACAATGCGATAAAGAAGAGAAGAGGTTTGGTGTGTGGGTGAAGGCTTTGAATGGGCCTTTTATATTAGGTCATTGGAATGCTCCAATTTAAGTTTCATTTTCATTTTATAATAAACTCCAACTCATACCCCTTAATTATCATTTACTCAGAGAGGAGTTGTAGTACCACACTCGTCCATACTCCTAGGTTGACTTCTCTTTGCATCCCAACTAACCCCTCACAAACGAGCATTTCCCTTATGCATCCAACCGCTTCACTAATTTGAGTGGGTTATAAAGATGGGTTGATTTATACTCTTATGTGAGTTCCTTCTTCAAACGTTTCGGTATGTATTGCCCTTTAGCTATAGATCCGATTCACCTAACCAGAAACTCAATTTTGCACATAGATGGACTCCTTCCCCGCTACGAACGATGAGCAAGAAAATAAGGAAGAAGTATGTTTCTTAATTGTTGCATATACTAAGAGTCCTCTGGCTACCGACCCATAGACATTATCTGATTGGGTGTCGTCCTATCAAAACAATTAGAAATTAATATAAAATCATTAATTGAAATGAAAAATTTTAATTTAGTCAAAAAAATCTTAAATTTGACTTTGACCGATCTGCTTTGACTAAGTCCAACGAAATTGCCTCCAAAATAAGTTGTGTTAATTTGAAATCTTGGTTTATTAGTAACAAAGCTTGAAATAATTGTGGAAATAAACATAGTTCCAAGCATGGGCAGACCAAGAGATAAAATTAAATTTTATTTCTTGGTCGAATTAGTGAAAAGAAAATATTTAAAACTTAGAAACAATGTTTCAAAATTCATTATTTCCATTTCTTGTGATACCCATTAAATGTATAGACAAACAAATGGAAATATAAAAGAAAAAGTTGCAAAAATAAACATAAAAAAGGTAACACATTACTTCAAAAAGTTACCAAAGTTTCAAAAATTTTAATTTCTACAACAGTGAGAATCTGAATCAAAGCTTGGGAGTGAACGTTGTTCATCCTTCCTTTCACGTAAAATTCCATTTTTTTGAACAAAATCTTAATATTATTTATGTTTCATTACTAAATCAAATGTTTGAATCTACGAAGAAATGTTTAAAATAAATAATTTAAGCGAAATTGTTGAATACGAAGAAAACGGAAGGATTGGACCAAAAATATTTCTCATTTAAAATCATTATGTCGGGAGAATTAGCTTCAAAGATACTTTAAAAAGAATAGTCAAAAAAGAGGTGGCAGAGCAATGGTAGAGCATTTTTATCCTTGGAGCTTCATTCACAAGTGTTAAAAAAAAAGCTTTCGAAATATAGAACCAAACGTCAAAATAATTTATTATTAAATTATTAAAAATGATTTTAGTTAAATATTTGATTGGATGATTAAATTTGTTTTTTAGTGAAGAATTAAAACTTTTTAACTTTCAGATATTTTAACGACCAAACCAAAATTAGTATGAGGCCGAGAATGAAAAGAAGTATTAAATAATTTGTATTTATTAGCCTTTGAAAAGAGTGTTAAAAAAAGTTGAAAGTATTTTGAAAGTGAATGTTTTTTCAAATAAGCAATTGAATGTGTGTTTTATCAACTGCTTCAAATAAGCAATTGAATAATTTAATTAATGATTAACCATAGATGTCATTTTAAAACGCAAATAGAAAGCTAACATCGGTACCTCATAATCATCGTAACTCACTTCAATTTTTTTCACCGCGTACTTTGATTGGCTCAATTCGCATTTCCAAATTATGGTTTCGATACTAATGTATTAGATGGAAAAAAACACAAACTCACAAAAACAAGTTTATTATGGTTGTTCTGAATTTCACACCAAATCAAATCCAACAACAACTTAGCATAAGATTTGTTATCATTTCTTCTTCTTTGATACTCTGTGTTTCTCCATATGTTCGAATAAGCTTCCATCGTAAACACCCTTCACCGTTTGCTTTGTAAGCAATCCATTCTCATCTTTGCAAAGGATGTATAGACCTGTCCACTCTGCCCATGCACCAATCCTAACAATACCAAACCAAACCAAACCAAACCAAACCAAACCAAACCAATAATTAATGTCTTCTCCAAGATAAACAAATAAATGTCAGAGTTTGGGAATGAACGAGAAAGAAAACCAACCATCCCTTATAGTCCTTCGGCTCTCTATTTGCTTTCAGCATTGCTTTAACCTCTTTTTCGGTTAAGGCATCCGGATACGTTAGGGCATGCTTTTTGAAAATTTCTTCAAATTTTAATGCAACAAACCTATCATTTAAAATCAAGAATTTAAAGACTAAATCAAACGTCTAAACAACCAAGCTCGAGTCCTAGAAAGCAAAGTTTGATGCCATTATACCTTCCTTCGGAATCATATACACCAGAATCACTTCCATGTTTGGCAAGGTGAATGTTCTTTATCACAATTGGGAATAAAAAGTTGGGACATTTCCCCTGCAAAGTAATGCATCAAAATTTATATTAATACTGATATGAACCCTCCTCTGTCTCTCTGATCCAATACAGAATCTATTTATTTATGTGAGGATCGCGTTCCCATGTAAAAAAATTTACTCTTTTTATACATTAAAAATATTAGTTAAAAGAAATTAATGGACACTTTCATTCTCAATATAATTTTTTTTATAAGGAAAATAAAATTCAAAAATAAAAATAAAAATATAAGGAATGAAAAGAAAGATCAACCCAATTAAAGCTAAAGTAGTGAATAATTAAAGTTATTTAAATAAATGAATAAAATGAAATTAAAATTAAAATTAAAAGCAAGAAGGAAGAAAAATGAAACATATTTATTAAAAAAAAAGAAGAGAGAATAATAGGAGAGAAAATTACGGGTCGGGTTTTGGAGCTGAGTCCGATGTTAACAAAAAAAGCACCGACGGAGGACAGAAACAAACCCGCCCCGATCGCTCGGAAGCCTTTGAAGGTTTCCCATGGATAAACGACGCCGTCATGGTTCCTATCGAAGAACGCCACGTGTTTCTGCAGCACGTTCTTGTCGCCTGCGTACAACCATGGGTGACATTAAAAAGGTTAACTCAGAACAAAAAAGAAGAGGACAGAAATGCAATTTCTAGAATTTCTGGGGGTGGTTTTCGAATTACTTTCTTCACTGGGGCTCGAGGAGAGATTCGAGAGTTCAGCCATCGGAGAAGAAGATGAAGAAGAAGAAGGCCTTTCTCTGTAAACTTTGGTTTGGGAACGAAACGGTGCGTTTAAAGAGAGAGGATGGGGGACTCGAGAGGGAGCTTTCGTTTTCGTGGGGAACAAAATGGAATCATTACTTAGCATTATATAAAGATCTTTTTGGATTTTTTTTAATTCGTGAATTGTGTGGTGTCATTTTGTCTAATATTCCACGTGTCATCTTGTGAATGGCCATAATTTATTTATTTTTAATAAGTGTGTTCATATCTTTTTCACTTTAGTCCTTTGGAAAAAAGCAAATATTTTAGGCATTATTTTTATCTTTGTTTAGAATAAATGGAGAGTGCATGAGCTTTAATTGCGTAAATAAATACGTATTATCATGTGACAAAAGTATTAGGTATCTAAATAACAAACCCAATTACCAAAATCTTTTTAAATTTAGTGCAAAATCGTTCATTTTAAATTTACAAATCTTTTCAATTTAATGTCTTAATTGTTAAGAAATACTCGTGTTAGCGAAAAAAATTAAAATTATTTTATAATACGTAAGAATAAGACATGATAATATATATATTTGGTACAAAACTTAAGAAATTAATACTTTGGGCATACAGCTAACTTCCTTTCCGGGTACTTATTATTATTTATCTGCTTACCTTTTTTTTACAGCCTACAATTAACAAGGAAAATTTCCTTCCATAATTATTTAATTTTTGCTTTTTGCTTTTTGAAAATTTAGATTTTTTTTTTTAATTATAAAATTTTGAGCACAAAAGTTAAATAATTATCCAACTAAGTATAAACTGAAATTATTTTATAAGAAGTCGATAAATAATATTATTAATTATTTTGAAATTTAAAGTTAGAGTAGGTGTAAAGCAAAATAGAAAGATGCTTTCAAATATAATATAATGATGGTTATGGTTGGTAAAGTTTATGTTTGGTTCACATTTCATCTTTAACAAAATTTTATTTCAAACTATTTTTTACCCAAAAATCAAAAACTGTATTCAAACAATGTTTTATTTTATTGTTAATTAAGGTAACGAAGCATCAAGAATCAATTTTTAAAATTCAAATATCATGTAATTAACCTCCAGTTATTTATGCTTAATAACTCTTAATTCAGTTTAATTACTATAGTAATACTCGAGAAAATGGAGTACAGCTGGTTGGTGTGCATGTGATTATTATTTATTGTTACTATGATTTTTGGACTGAAAAGGGCATAGAAAGATGTAGAGGGGGGTAAAAGATAAAAGGGCATTTAAGAACATTCACTATCCATTTATTTATTATTTAAATCAGATGCATTTCACAATTTTGAATCAAATTGATTTGGACGTTGGATCTGAACCGTCGGTATTTATCGCTATCACTTTCTTCAATTGCATATTTTGAATATCTCTATATCTACGGTCCATTATACTCTCTAATTAACTCGCAATTAAAAACAATCTTAATGGGTAAGCCAACCAATTCCAAAATAATGGGAACCCAGAAAAGTGTTCTTTAAGGATTTAGGGGTAATAAGGGGATTGCGTGTACATTTAAACTAGGGAAGAACGGAAAATGGAACCAATGGAGCCTGGATTTGACGCCACGTCTCCTCTTTTCTTCTAACAAGACTATTATACCCCTTGCTTTATAATATTTTATCATTTTTTTTACCTGCAAAATCCTAAAAAAACCTTTTAAATGAAAAAAAAAAATTAATATTTTTTAATTATAGTATAAAAGAGTCTAACATGGTTCAAACAATATCTCATAACACATTTTAATATTAAAAAAAAACATTTATTCGAGAACAAGAAACAAGAAAAATGAACATCTCTAGTTAGGAACTCCGTGCGTTCAAACTTTGATATACTAACTCATTTACACAGACCAGATCATATCAGAAAATCCATCAATCTTCCAGATTCATATATAAGATAACACATCATTTACTTTAGAAACCAAGCTCGCTCTTTGAGAGCTTACCAAATTCATATTGCTATGTTAACAGCTATAAACGGAGGTAGCTGAAACTACAACAAGCCTTTGCCATACTGCTATCTGATGCTCCTTGTACGCCTCAGTCTTTCCCAAAATCTGCAGTTCCGGTTATCAACATAAAATTTGGTTCCTCAACTTTTCAGAATATGTCTACGTTTCTAATAGGATTTTCAAGATTTTAGACACCGAATCTGTTAATAGACTACTATAATCAATTCTGTCAGTCAACAAACTGGTATTAAAGTCTGGAGGGCTAACCGAGCTCAACGTAGAGACCTCATAGAAACTCGTTAAAGTGTGGGTGCTAAATAGACACAATCCTAGGGACTATACCTACAATTTAATCAAACACTTAATAAAGGAAACATGCTTGGTTCTGGGTCCATATGTTCATATTCGAGAAGGGTTGTCCTAGTTCAATTTGAAGATATGATGCAATGCATAATGAAAACATCATGTAAATGCAGTCTATCATGACAAGGGGTCAGGTTTAAAAATTATATGCGCTGTCGAAAGAGAATTGGAGATGATATATGGGATCAGTCACCAGTTATGTTGATCTCCCTGATCATAACTTAATCATGTCATGCAATTATGTTGCATCAAATTCTGACCTGAATCAAAGAATGCAACATTTCAGGACCAGACCCTTTTGCTCCGTCCTTCCCTCTTCATTCCCTGAAAATGTCATTAAATCATCACAAACCTGATAGATGATATACTAACCAAGTTAGCAGTAAGAAGAGTGTACAAAGTATTAGGAAGTAGAACGAAACATTTTTTTTATAAGAGTGTGGAACCTCTCCCTAGAAGACGTGATCTAAAAATCTTGAGGGGAAGCCCGAAAAGAAAAGCCCAAAGAGGACATTTTTTTTATAGGCTTGGGTTGTTACAGTCACGAAGTAAGGTCTTGAAATGGTAAAAACAATTCAAGAATGGGGGTGGTATTTTTAAAATTTATAAGTGGAAAAATAAACGAGATTTAAAACACAAGAAGCCGATTTAAATCATCAGTTTGAAAAATGATTTTAAACAAAGAAATCCAAGAAATACAACTTAAGCTACACACAAACTAAATAGAATTAAGAGACTAATACATGTTAATTCTAACTGTTATAGATGTCTCGTTTCTTAAGCAATTGTATGAACAATTTTAATTGGAAAATAAAGTAAGAACCTTCAAGAGGCTGAACAAGCTTCCGATTATGAGATGACATCATTTCTTTCTTCAGTTGAGTCAATATATCCTCCATTGTATATTCCCTTTGCCATTTAGCAAGCATGGGGAGAAGGTTCCTTTCAACCTGGTAATTACAGCAAGCATTCATTATTTCAAATTATGAAATGGCTACAAATGGCTAGAGAAATGGTTCATACCATTCCAGTTTCTGGATTGACACAGGACATGTTTATCCTACTTTGGAATCTAACAGCCGGTGGATTATCTGGATAATCCTTTCCACAGAACAGCTTCAATTGGTAGATTCTCCCTTCATGAACAGTCTAAAAACACACAACACATCAGGCCATCAATTTTCTTTAAGTGAAACAAATAGCTTAAGGGAAACTGCAGCCATCTTCTTTCCATACATTTTTTTAAAATATGACAAGATCTTCATAAAAAGTGCAACTTAGGAGCAAATAAAATCCACTTTCTCTGAGAATGCGAAGACATCGACTTCAAACTTGAATTGAATACTCAAAATTTTCAGGAAAACAAGAAAAAGATGGCAACCCAAAAGCAAAAAAGTCGAAACTTACATTAGGTGGACCAATAATGGTCCCAGTCCAAGACTGCATTAATAAGTCATCTGGATCATCCATGCCATAGCTCACAGTTCCATCACCAATCCCCTTTTCACCTCTCTCGAGCTCTTCCAATAATCTAAAATTCCTAGGAACTGCAAACAAACAGACGTATGGATCAGTCAAGCGAAGACAATAATTAGCAAGCTAAAACTATCATACTTCAAAGTTGCAACACATAGTAGCTGTCTCTAAAGGTGTATGCAGTTCGATTCAATAGGATTAGATTTTCTGACTAAACCCAAACCAAACCACAAAAGTGGAAAGAAAATAAGGAATAAGAAAACAAGCCACTCCAAGCACTGGTTAAAAGTTGAACCAACAGTTCGATCATATTGTCAATTCATAGAGGCTACGTGATGAAGCACTAAAGGTTGGACCACTCACAGTTTATCAGGTTGATAAAGGCAAAGAAATGATAAGGAAATATCATTGAGGACTATGTCACACAAACCACAAAAAGTAGCGGACAACGGAACGAACGATGAGGAACTCAATTTGCTTCCTGTTATTTGATTTTCAACCAGTAAATGGCAATTGTTGTTGCCAACAACTAATTGAATACAAGAGACGAGAGTTGAGGGTCTGGATAGAACAGATGTGAAGGTAAAAACCCAGCTCATGATAATCATAGGTTCAATATCTTCCTCCCTCACCAAGGAGCTACCATTTTCATTAGCTAATCCACAAGTCAGCTTTCTTTTCATTCTGTACATGGATAATAAATGGGAGGGAAATTTTCATCACCCTCCTGTATCTATATATTCTCGACCCCTTTTTCTAAGCCTCCACAATTGATCATAAGTCAGACTTGCATTCGAAAACATAATGAATAATATCCTTAGTTGTTGGAACATCTACAAAAAGGTGAATATTATCCAACCGCCACTAAGCTATCTAACCACTAGTCATCAAGAGATGTTTGAAACGGGGTTACTGTTTACAGGGTTGAAATTAACACCAGTACCCTTGCACTCTGAGAAACAATCCTGGCTAGCAAATTGTAGTCGAGTTCCAGCTACATAAGTTGGCGGGCTAGATGTTCCTTCGGGGGTATTGTGTTGGCAGTTGCACTAACTGAATCTAAGTTCACTAGGCTTTCATTATCCATCTTTTTTTCTCTTAATCTTACTTATATTTTCCTTCTTAGGTTCAATCAACTTGCTAATTTGGAGTGGATAACAATATCGATAAATAGGATGAAGCTTTATAGGGCCTGACATCATTCTTAGCAAGATTGACGTAGATTCGAAGGCAACTTGATCGTTGAAATAGGTTGTTGTGCATGCAGAAGGCAGAGTGATGCATACCAACTGTGCAATCTTGATTTCAAACAGGTTGCAATAACAAGGCACATCAACTTGTAAGAAAACGAAATATTTTACAACTCTAAATGACTGAAATCAATATCACAATGCAGTAATCCAAGCAGACAAAACATTCTCAGAGCAGTAATTAGTTCAAACAAGCATAAAAATGAAAAATATCTTCAAATTAACAAGATGAAGATTCTAGAGGACTAGATGATTTGATACTTAACAGTTCCGCAAAAGTTGTTCCTGAGAGATAAGCAAAGAACATTCACCCTACTTCTAAAGACTGGCATGCCACGGTCATAACCTGAAGTGGTTGTGATATTTTTGAAGTTCGTCAGGAGATTGGAAAAGGGTCATTAGTCAATTAGAACTTAGGTTCCTTCTCAAAATTCATCAGCCGCGAATCCACAGTTACAAGTTTAAAATTGCTTTCATCCCTTTCGTTATATGAACTAATTCGATCATCCATGACTCATAACAACAATAAATTTAAATAGCTTGGTCAAATAGGTTAGAGAAGCTTCATTGTTATTTGAAAGACCACCAAAAAATCCAATCAAACACACGGCCAATAAGAATTCGAATCTAAGGAATCAACCCCATCACTAAACGATCACTAAACAACAATTCCATCAAAACCCAAACTCCAAACAAGAAAACCCACAATTCCAAAAGTCCCAATAAACCCAACAGCTTCGGAAACAACGATCAAGCACGGAATTAAGCGAAGATTGAAACAAAAACAGACAACCCAGAAAGGAAAGGAACAGAGAGAAGAGAAAAAGGATTTTGAAGAACTCACCAACCACCCTGGATCCTTCAGAGCCCATGAAGCATAGAATGCAGAGAGAGGTTCAGAGAATTTCTAGAGAGAAAGGAGAAGAAATTAATTAATGAACGAATGAAGAAACGAAGGAAAGAAAGTAAAGAGGCTTGGTTGAAAAATGGGTGAGAGATAATTAAGCCGAAGCGGCATCGGCCATAAGATTGGACAAAAGAAGATCGCAGTCCCACCTACTAAATGACTGCTGTTTTCGCCAGTTTCGCTGGCAGAAGAAAGACGCAGTCCGTACTTTCTATTCTCAGTGAACCGATCCATCCATGCTCTCATATGCCTTCACATCTCGGCCCTACACGTAACCAATCAAGATTCGCATCCTACCATCAAAATTAAAAATAAAGTAGATATCAACATCATATTAATAATTTGAACTTTTAATTTATTTATAAATAGTGGAATGGTTGTTTGGTATTTATTAGTAAAAATATATGACATGAAAAATTGAGAAATAGACGTTTATATTAATATGACATATGAAAAATATTATAATCTTAGTTTATGCAATTTTTTATTAATTTATTGCATTGTTACATCTTGAAAAAATAAACGAAATATAATAAAAATATCGAACACTAATGCACACCCAACGTTAATAAATTCTAAAGCTATTCACAAAAAAAAAAAAAAAAATGAAAAAGCTCATTTATTAATTTAGATATTTTCTCATTACTTTTTAAAATTTTAAAAATATCTATCAAATATTGATATTTAAATATGTTGTTGACACCAAAAGCAAATATTGCTTTTGTGACCGTAACAGCAAAAATTGCATATGGATATGATAGCTTGACATACCAATTTTGACGCGTAAGATGGCTAAAAGAATTTTGTGGGTAATAAGAGTTTTAGAAATAAGGAAGAGTTTATTTTGTTCCGGTCGAAGATAATTATTTATATTAAAACCCTCTAAAATTTCGTATGAATCAGATTACATATTAATCAAATGGGATTGAACCAAGATACCACTAGTTAAGAGCATGTATGGTGTCACAATCGCTCTCTTATGGCACGAGGATAGGTCTTGTGTGACACTTGATTCTAACCCAGTGAATAAGTCAGTGGGGAGTTGAATTTTGGTGCATTATTATAAAAAAAAAAACATTTGGATACAAAGAAAAGCATTTTGGCATAAATTGTTGCAAGAAAGAGAAGCTCATGATATTTTTTTTTTCTTTTTTTCTTTACCCAATTATGTTATAATTAATTGGTGAAAAAAAAAAGTTTTAAAAGAGAGAACTTGGGATAGAAGAAATGATGATGTGAGAAATTTTATATACCTTGAATTATATTAAAATCAATACAAATAGAGAATTTGGACACACGACCTTTAAACAAAGGTATAGTTTAAATATTGAATTATATTGATGTTGATAATTATTTGATGTGAATAATATAAAATCGAGGATTAGGGTTTGGGCTTCATATTTGAGCGTGTGAAAATTTATGGCCCAAATGTGAATTGGGCTTGAAACTCGTAGAAGTTAAAATGCTATTGGTTTACATATGGTCACAGAGATGTCCATTTTCTTTATAGAAAACTCTCGACACTTTCCTTTTTTTTCTCCTCCTAAATTTTGAGGATAGGCATATTTTCTTTGTTTTAAACAAAATAAGATTTCCACCCTGTCAATTTAAGCTGATGACGTGGCATACAATAACAGGTTGGTGTCTTTCTTGAAATTACGGAATTGCCCCTTCCTTGTTCTGACTTGCGAACTTGTCACTTCCTCGTGTTTTCTGATTTATAACGTGTACGTTTTGAACTCTCTTTCCCCAACTTACAAGGACAATAATGTCATTAACGTCTTTTTTTAAAACTTAAATAATCAATTACGAAATTTATTTTTTATTTTTTAAATAAAATGTGGGTAGTTAAAAACTATTTCTCCCTTCATATAATCATATAATCGTAAGAAAAAAAATCAGTGATATAAATTATTTTATTTTTGTTAAATAATTAGTAGTCTGTATTAATTAAAATTAAATAGAAGATGAAAGGTTTTAACTATTATGACGTCAAAAAAAAATTGAAATGCAGCAGTTGAGGACGTTAGGAATGAAATTACGGGTGTGCCCCTCGTTGTGTATAGAGTCCAATTTGGTATTCTCTAGTTGTTCCTCACCAAAATATCTTGTGTCCAATGGCCATAATTTTTTGTTACGTATTACGTATGCGTTATCAGCTATTTTTGTGGTCCAAAATTATTTTAAAATTTTCATGGTAAATTATAATTATAATTTTTATAGTTTTTTTAAAAAATGACTAATACATTACTAATTCAATTTTTATTTAATAAATAATTACATTATTGTGTCCGATTATTCTAAAATTTATAAATTCAACGCATATCATTTAGTTTAGTATGTAATAGATTTTTTAATTTAAAATTTTAATTTTATTAGATTAGTATAAAATTTAAAAATAAAAGTTTAATGGTCTATTAAATACTTTTTTAATTTATACGCTTCTTAAATAAAATTAAAAACGGTCTCCTTCTGTGATTATTTAGATTTTCTAGTTTTGATTTTTAAAAATTAGATTTATAAATTTACTTTTATGATATTTTTTAATTTACTTTTTATCTATATTTTAAAAAATCAAGTAAGATTAATAATTCAAATATTTTCTTAAAAAGAAAAATAAAAAACTAATATTTTATGGAAGTACACATATATTTATTGAAAAATTATAAATATAATTTTACCATTTTATTGTTAATATTATATGTGATATTTTGTAGATAATTTTGTTTTTAGAAAAGTGCAGAATTGACTAGAAATATGAATGAAAATTAAAAAAACAAAAGTCAAATAAAATGACAATTTCTCAACTAATTTAAATTGCGTGCGTCTATATACATATAATTGTTTAATTGCCATATTTTAATTTCTGCGTCTTCTTCCTCTCTCTCTCTCTGCCATGCACGGCCTCTGCAACTCAAAACCCCTCTCTCTATTTCAGCCCACCTTCCCTACCAGAAACCATATTCGGACTTCTATTAACAAACTCCACATCGTCAAAATGGCCACCGATTTCGATCGCGCCGCCGAATTGAAGCAATTCGATGAAACCAAAGCCGGCGTCAAAGGCCTTCTCGATGCTGGCCTTAATAAAATCCCTCGCATCTTCATCCACCCGCCCGAAACTCTCTCCGACCTCAAACCAACCCCTAAATCCTCCGGCGAAGCCGTTGTCATTCCAACGATCGACCTTGCCGGCCTCTACTCCCCCGATCTCCGCCCCTCGATCGTCGACCAGATTCGAAACGCCTCATCGACCTTTGGATTCTTCCAAATAATCAACCATGGAGTTCCGCAGAAAGTGCTCGATGATGTAATCGATTCGATTAGGGCTTTTCACGAACTGCCATCGGAGGCGAAATCGCCGTACTACCAGAGGGACGTTGGGACCGGAGTGTCGTACTTGTCGAACATTGATCTGTTCAAAGCGAAGGCGGCGAGTTGGAGAGACACGCTTCAGATAGGGATAGGGCCGGCGAAGGCCGCAGCGGCGGCGGAGAATATTCCAGAGGTCTGTAGGGCGGCGGTTGCGGAGTGGGCGTCGGAGACGGAGAGGTTAGGGTTTGTGTTGGAGGAGTTACTGTCTGAGGGATTAGGGCTGAAATCAGAGCGGCTTAAGGAGGCAACGTACGGAGAAAGGCGGATGATGGTAGGGCATTACTATCCATACTGCCCGCAGCCGGATCTGACGGTGGGGATTAAATCGCACACGGATCCTGGAGTTTTGACTGTGCTCCTGCAGGACCACATCGGCGGTTTGCAGATCCGGCACGGCGGCGGGTGGGTGGATGTGGAGCCTGTCGCCGGTGCTCTTGTTATTAACATTGGCGATTTGCTTCAGGTAAGCTCTCTAGAGATCGGTTCTGTTTCTTTGGATAACAACAATGAGGTCGTTCTTGAATCAACCAGAATCCATGTTGTAGTTGTATTAAAACAAAATTATAATAAATTTTTCATTCTTTTTTTTATAGATTGCATCAAATGACGTGTACAAGAGCGTGGAGCATAGAGTCCTGGCGAATGGGAAGGCAGAAGCACGGATTTCGATTGCAGTGTTCTACAACCCTGAAATCAGAGACAACTTATACGGACCAATCCCGGAGCTAATCACACCGGAGACACCTGCAGTTTATGGTCAATTCACGTACGATGATTACATAACAAGGTTCTTCAACAAGGAGCTAGATGGCAAATCTTTGCCCAACCATTATCGAATTTGAACTCTCCAACTCCTCCTCGTCTTTCCAAAAGGCATATAGTTACGTAACCTTATGTTTGTTATGACTTTATCACAACCACAAAACATACTCCCAGTTAATGTTTGTGCAAATTTCTTGTAAATTTGACCTATTTTGATACTCCGCCGATTTGAATACAACTATATGAATTTAGTTATTGATTAGACTATTAAAGCATGGTTAGTTGGTTTAGTTGGCTACGATTCATGTGTTTATTAGAGCCTAATAATAAGGCATTTTATTAGAACCACAAATTTTAATTTCATTTTCAAACCGCCGAGCTTAAGCGTCTAATCTACATAGCATCGAAATGATGTAATAAAATAAATAAATGTGAACCTGAATTAGTGCAGTTCTCTTCTCTCTGTTTGTGGTTCTATATTTGGAAATCAACACTCTGTAACCAATTCGAAATCCCAATTTCATTCGCGGATTCAAGTTTCCCCCAAATTGTCTTGTCTTTCATTGCGATCATGTTCCCTTTCTGCTTCATCTTCGTACTCAATCCTCCCGTTTTCAATTCCGTCTGAAAATCTGTTTCGGTTGTGGGTGGTAGATTGTTTTTGCGCACCAGAGAGCGGAATCAACCATGAGATTCAAATGTCTCTTCTGCTGGAAAAAGAAGCCCTTCGCCTCCGTCACTTCTTCCATCGTCTCCTCGCCCTCGACGAATGGACCTCGCTCCTCATCCAGAGATTCACACTCTCGGAACGCGGAACTCGAGGAGGTTTTCAAGAAATTCGATGTAAACGGTGACGGAAAGATCTCCTCTGCCGAATTAGGCTCGATTATGGGGAGCCTAGGGCACAAGGCCACGGAAGAAGAGCTCGCCAAGATGATCGAGGTTTTCGACGCGGATGGCGATGGATTCATTAATCTACAGGAATTTGTGGAGTTAAACACTAAAGAAATCGATCCCGAGGAGTTGTTGGAGAATCT